TTTTTGGAGGTCCAACAGTATATGGTGTTTATATATTCGAGTCTTTTTATATAAATTTTACTCATTACAGATCGTAATTATGATAATTTTTACTCGCATTCTCCATCTTTGTCTTAAACGTTTTCGTCAGCCACGAATCATATCTGAAGTGATAGGTGGAATCATCCTTGGCCCTTCTATATTAGGCCGGATAACAGGATACACAAATACCCTGTTTCCAAGAGATTCCTTTACTTACTTGAAACTTCTGACTAATCTTGGTGCTGTTCTATTTTTGTTTATGTTTGGTGTAGAGTTAAATCCAGCAATTACAGGAAAAAATATAAAATCCGTTGTCTGTATCTCTTCAAGTGGTATCATATTGCCTTCTGCAATGGTTTAGGTTGCGTATTTTTTGTATAATGCAATAGATAAGTCATCCATTTACGTGTAATTTATAAGTTTTGCATTGTTCATCTCCGTTGCCATGACTGTTACAGTAAAGAATTCCATTAATATATCATTGTCCATTATGTATGTGTAGTGACTATAGGCGCAGAAAAATTTATGTCACTAGGTTATATCCCATCGTAAAGGCGTGTTTATACATCTTTACAATGGAATGTAACCCAGTGACGTAAAATATTTCTGCAACTATGGTAGAGACATAGCATCTTGTTACTGTAAATATGTTAAATTATAGGCATACCCAGTTCTTGCATGTATCTTATCAGAGTTAAAACTTTTAATAACACCTGCAGGTTCTAGCTTACTGTCTTCTGCTGGTTATGATAATATTATTGCCTATATCCTTCTTATTTATGCAATATCCAATGGCAAGAGCTATCTCACGTCCCTTGTTCTTTCCTGCTCTTTATTTCATGGTCATTATTAGTTATGTTTATCTTTCATCCGATCTTATTAAAGCTCATCGATGTAACAAATTCAGATCAATCATCTCTCTCAACATTAATAGTTGCTATTACCTATCGATCGTCTTGATGTCTGCGTTTATTAAAATATCATTTGGTATCCATTACATTGTTGGAAGTTTTATTGTTGGGTTAGTACTTCCTTATGAAGGAGGTTTCGCGGTTGGAATTATTAAGAGAATTGAAGACCTGATAAAGAGGAAGTTTTTCGATTGGAATTATTAAGAGAATTAAAGTCCTGATAATTGTTCTATTTATACCTATAGTACGTACGCATTTTGCAATTTAACTAGCAAAAATTCACGAAAACAAATTATGGATATTTATGATACGAAATCAAATTTGGGATGTTGTTCACTTCGTAGACAGTTTACTTCAGTTTACTTCATGGATGCCTTATTTCATATGCAATTTACAGACAACTTTATTTCACAGACAATTTAATTAACAGGTAAGTTCATTCATAGACTGATTTCTTATTTTATAGCGGTTTTCTTTTTTTTTTTTTTTTTTTTTTTTTTTTTTTTTTTTTTTTATTGTCAACTTATTTTACCTATATATATAATTGTAATTGTTATTGTAAAAGTTAGGACCTGAATTGTGTTTAAGGTTAAACAAAAACTTGTATGAAATGAGTTGTTAGCTAAATAAACTATCTGCGACGAAAGGAATTGATAAATCAATTCTTCTATGTAACGTTAAACGAAAACCAATTATTTCGGTAATCAAGGTTTTGGCAGAGGCGTGTTATCTGGTCAAGCATGATAAGTCCTATTATTTATATAATCACCAGTAGATATTTAATAAGAATCGAATTTTGGATTATAAGATCTTTCAATTATTTATTTGTAATTAATATTTCAAACTAGAAAGGTTGCCTACAACAAATGAAAGGGATGATGTTTAAAATATTGCAATGTGATTATATTGAAAGTCAAGGCTATGATATATCGCCATTGCAGCACTATGAACTTATCAGCGATTTAATTGTAAAATAAACTTGTCTATGAATTAATTGTCCATGAAATAAAGTGTTTATAAAGTAATATCTGACGGTGGAATGATACGGATCCCAATTTTATTCCATTGTATCAAACTCGAAACTATGATTTCGATAGATTTGACATTATAAAATTTTTTAGGTTATAGTTAACGAAGTCTCTAGGTTTTATTGTATAACTATACTACTATGCATCGTATATTTATATGCTACGCACTTTTACCATTATCTGTTCTTAATTGACTATCTAACCCGATTAGTAAATATATATTCTATAATTATAAGTTATTGTCCGGCTGTTGTTACGTACAGCCGTACCAAAATTTTGATCATATATATTTGCACGGTTGAGTTTTAAAATTATTATTAAA